CACATATTTCTATGGTGTTGTGCAGAACCATGTGAGCTTACCTGCAAAGCTGGCGTGAGTATACAGGGCTTACTAGCAGAGGGTCTATGCTGTGAGAAAGTAGCTAAATTGCACCTGGACCCCAGCTCACTGTGGAAGCAACCTGCCTGTATTTATACAGTCCTGCCCATAAGCAAAAGCAAGAGTGGAATGATCTTAGTTTCTATACTGTCACAATCTGACAAATTATCTATCAGAAAGGAATAGTTTCTATGTAAAGATTTACATAGCTGAAAATTTCCTGTCGAGAAAAGAACTTGCTGTACTTGCACTTTCACATACTTGGAGGTCTGAAGCTGCATCTCTGCTGGAAACAAATATTAGGTACTTCAGTTTTAAGAACAGTGATGACGGATTGGTTCCTGTCCCTTATAAACAGATTACATTTTAAAATTCATCACTTTTCTCTCTGGAGCAAAACTGTCCAACTCATAAACATCTTTCACAACCTCTCATGTTATTACGGGCCATTGAAGGGTTTATACTTCTCCAGAATTTCTATTGACTTTTTGCTAACAGTCTGTGCTTTAATCCTGGGTGGGTACTGACAAAAACCAAACCCTAAGGATACCGGAAAAGCAGACGGCACTATTGTTAACTGCTGTCATTTGAACTGCCACTTAACAATATTGTGTGGTCTCAGGCCTGAGATGTAATGAAGCTCGGCTGCCTGAGAACCTCGGGACTGACTTCACCAACACCTCAAACTCAACTCCATGTCAAATGCGAAGAGAGGAGTCCACCAGTGGTTACTGTGGGGCGTTGGGAGTGATATACTGGGATGCAAATTTCTTACAGAAATAATTCATGATCTGCTCTAAGACATCAGACAGAGGTCACATTGAACAGGAGAAATATGACATCTGATGGCACCTGCTATCTCAATCCCCTTCTTTTGACACAGTTAAAGAAAAAGAGGAAGCAATTAAAATTATTCAAGAAGTAAGTAATATTATGTTAGGTTACAATACTGCAATATTTAACCAGTATATTACAGCTTTCTGAATCATTGAGCCCTGAGGAGTTTATGAGCACTAACAGAAAAGTACCTCAGAAAAAAAAATGCTGAAGAAAATTATTGTATTACTGAAGGCACAGGGGATATTACTCCCCCAAAAAGGCCAGTGTGTGTAAAAAAGAAACATCAGAAAAAATATATCTGTCATAATGCTGAAGCAGTAATAGGTATGGCAAATATATTCTTTCACTGTCAGCTGAGTACTATTCTGCATTTATATTACAAACAAAGCCGCAGGACAGGCTTACAAGATTGGATGCATTTTCATTTCATTAATGGAAAAATGGAACATACAGAATTCTTTCTTTTGAAAGCTATGACAAGCTGGTGGAAAAGGGTGGTAACAGAAGCAAAATCTGCCTTCCTGTCTGACAGTTCCACATACACAAATCTCAACAATTATCCTTGGAGGCATTAAAAGGCATTCCACCCCAGCAACGCTTCAGCAGTAAAGGGAAAGGGGGTGAAAATTAAAGCTCTTTCTGCTGCACAGCTCTAAGAAGGACACAAAAATCACACAATGACTTTCCTCTGTTTTCATGATCAAAAGCCTATTTCTAATTTCTACACATAGCAATCAGTAGTAATATTTCAGAATCATCATTCATTACCATGGTAACATCCCTTGATATTACAGGCAGTTAATTATGTCGTTGCTGTCTGGTTCACCATGTGTGTTATTTACAGAAGTAGATAAACATTTAATAAAAGCATCTTCGAATACATGAACAAAATAAAAACTGCTTTTCTATCCCTTGTGGTCATTCCTCATGTTCTATGCAAAAAAGATAAAAAAAAAAAAAAAAAGCGCTAATAATAGTTATTCACTGAAACCTATAGAAAAGTAAAAGGCAAAGTTCTTGGTAAAAAGAAATCTGGTGACTTTATGTGGCAAAGAGTTCTGACTGAGATTTTAATTGAACAAAACATTTTCTAAAAAGATACCATATAAAGGTATAGTATATAATAGAAAATGGGAATATAATTATATTTGATGCAAATAGATTGTAAAGTACTAGAAAAACAGAACAGATGACTTCCTGGTTATCTCAATCATTTCTGAGCTATAATGTGACATCTCTGTCACATCACAAAGTAACTGTCCTGATGGTCATCAGGATCCCTCCTGTAAGAGAAAGAACATCCTGCAATTGTTTGATACTCTCTGTTCATAGTGCCAACTGAGTAGTTCCGTGCTGCACATTTCCATAAGCTAGAATTAACACTGTGTTGTTAAAAAGCAAGCTGCAAATATAATGCAGGAAAAAAGCTAACAATTGAGTTTGCACAAACTATTTAGATTTAAAAGGCAGACCTTAGACAGAACTTAGAAGGAATTTATTTTGGGTGACTCCTCAAGTTCTGCATATCCATGTGTTTTAATTAATAATTTACCCAACTATTAAATGCATGACAGCAGAGTCTGCATTTCAAGTGCTAGCAGGAAACAGAGCACATTGCAAAATAACCTGACTTATTCAGCTAAAGAGCCAAAGGACAGCAAGTGAATTTCAACATAATCAAATCCAAGGAACATACATGTAAACATTTCCTGATTACATCTAGAGGATAAATCCTGTGTTTAAAAAGCTGTGAGTCACAAAATTTTAAAGATCATAGTGGATTATCACCTGAACCCATGATTTTATCAAAGTGTACTAATGTAATGCTGCACTACACATTTTAAAAAAGAGGAATTACCACATGGAAGTAAAGAAACGACCTTCCCTTTGTTAAATTACCACTTTGCTGTGCAGCTGCTAATATAGCATATCCTGACTTGATTAACCCACCAGAAAAAGCATATGAAAGCCCTAAAAAATTCAAAGGAAGACAATAAAAATGTTCTGCTGTAAAAAGTAACCTATTTAAGAGAATCAAAAAGTGTCCCAGCTAGCAAAGACTCTGTTGAGAGATTTTTATCACTATGTGTATATAATTCATTGTTATCTGGTCTTGGATCTCTGAAATAATTTTCACAGGTAAGAGACACCTGAGGCAGTACTAGACTAGTTACAATAGCAGACCTTGCTAACCTTTCCTCCAACCTAGAAATGACCAGGTATTTTCTGAGTTTTATTTTGCTGTCATTTCTTGAAGCAATGAGTAATGGATGGACTCTGGAAACAATCCTTGAGGGTTACACCCAGGAGCTATTGAGAGTTTTCTTGATCAGCTTGCTGATGTCAGGATCGCCTGACAGATTTTTGCCCAGGTCATACTGGCAAGAATCTTGGTGGTTTTATTCCTGGCTTCCCATGGATCATCTGCTAGCTAACCTGGAGACACCTAAGCTCTTCAGTTTGCAACAAAAGCAGGAACTGGTAAGGTTGATGGCATCTCAGACTCTCTTGTGTTCTATTTATTGTAATTAACTGTTAATTGCTAAAGGATTTAAGTGCATTTGTCTAACCCGCTGCCCAGATGCCCTTGCAGAAGGAATACACTACAGCAGAATAAAGCGGTTGTGCTCAGAGGTTTACACTTGGCTTTTGAAGGCTGTGATTCCAAACTTTCAAATAACACAGTATTTATAGCTTTTCCTCGGATCGTAACAGTGGCTACTAAAATTATATAGACACACATAAAAGAAAATGAAAATGCAAGTACAACTCGGCTTTCACATCTTTTTGACCTCGTAAATTTAGGTAATGTATATTTAGTTCTACCCACTGAAACACTCAACTTGAAATTATTTTGCTTCAACTGTGATGTTGCAGGACATAAACAAGCTTTGAAAACACTGCACTTGTGCTCTGATTTCTTAATAACGCTGTTTTTTGCACATAACTAAATATAGTAACCTTTGGATTTTGGTTCAACACAGTTTAAAAATACTGCTTTTATCAAAGTCTAGCTAAGTATATTTAATACCTGAATCGACTGAAGGCTTTTTGTTTATTTTTTTTTCTGATTAGTCTTGGCAATATATAAATCAAATTATAGAATGCAGTATTTGTTGATTTTCTTCCCAAGGTAGCTTCCATTTTAACATATTTCTTCTGGTCTAAGCAAAACACTACAAAGTAGCTAGCCTACGGTAACACATTTTTACAAAATGAAATTGACCAGTGTACACTGTGCAGATGCTATATTTAATGAAAGTATATGGATTTTATACAACTATCACTACATGTACCAAGTATGATTCTGGGACTGTTGAACTGCAGACAAGCTTACAGAATGAGATGTGAGTTCTAGCACACCTCTAACAAAAACAAAATCTTTAGAACAAAGACCATCTGTGCTAAAGCAACTAATTTTTTCTTAGCATTGTCAGCGGCTAATACACTCTCACGTTTAATGGTGTGACAGTATGATACCGAATCACAGAACCTCAGGGCTTGGAAAGGACCTCAAGAGACCATCAAGCCCAACCGCACTGCTAAAGCAGGTTCCCTACAATAGGTCATACAGGTAGGCATCCAGGTGGGTCTTGAATATCTCCACAGAAGGAGACTCCACAGCCTCTCTGGGCAACCTATTCCAGTGCTCCATCACCCTTACTATACAGAAGTTCTTTAGCATGTTTGTATGGAACCTCTTATGTTCAAATTTTACACCATTACTCCTTGTCCCATCTCTACACACCACCGAGATAAGCCTGGCCTTATCCACTTGCCACACATCTTTCTTTCCATATTTATAAACATTCATCAGATCCCCTCTCAGTCTTCTTTTCCCCAGGCTGAACAGACCCAGGTTACTCAGCCTTTCCTCATATGGGAGATGATCCGGACCCTTTATTACCTTTGTGGCCCTCCAAGGGACTCCTTCTAGGAGATCTCTGTCTTTTGTGAACAACTGCATACATTAATTCAATTTTTTGTGTGACATCTAAAATAGTAAGCAGTGTACTACATAAATATTAATTTTGTTCTAATCCAAACATCAGAAGAGCCTTTGCAAAGATTATCAGGTTAATACAGGGTATGGCACTTACCAAGATGTGTGTTCATCATCTTTGCACAATATTTGCACATGGCTTCCAAGTCGTTTAGCTGCCCTTGTAGGAATGAAATTTGGGCCTCCAATTCCTCCTCCTACAATAAGCATTAAAAAAACCAACATCTTTATATGACATACAGTAAAATTGGTTATACAACTCTTGAAATGTTTTGATGTCTTTTTCCTACTTTTTTGCTTTTGAGAAAATTTTGGAAACGAGGAGAATCACTTCATTAAAGTATTTATTAAAAGACTTGTAAATTCTTTTATAATTTCATGGATATAGGGCTTGGTCTTAATGCTTCAGTTTTTTTTAATATCAATTTTTTTAATCTGAAGACTCCAACAAACCTCTGCCTACATTCCCACATGTTATCCAGGAAAGGTTAAGAATTCACATTTATTTTCCAGGTTACCTACTTGTTTTTGCTTGTAAACAGCACAACAGTAATGGCTGAAAAACTCATCAAAGAAAACTTCATACTTTCGTTAGTAATTTTTACAGCAATTCCCTTAAAAAGCTCAGAAAAATTACTTTTCTATTTCAAGACATATTTAATGAAACCTAATGTTATACCTCAATGATGCACTACCATCATATAATTTGGGATATTTATTTGTGTCACATATGCTCTATATGTATGAAAAAACTTGCCAAGGCAACTGGAATTCCACAAATTTTTAATTTTCCACATTAATTTTCATGCAGTGGTTAAGTGAAAACTAATTTAAACTCACTGTAATACAGTGAGTCTACATTATCAAGTTATTTAATAAAAATGCACCAAATACAATTTAAAATACCATTAAAAAATCATTTTAAGGCCCAGTGTTAAGCCATATGATCCATATCCGCAATAGAAAGTACATCAACCAAGAATTTCTCTTTGAGCTCTGAATTTTAAACTTTGTTTGCTATTTACAAATGCATCCAGTTTCAATGTGAAGATGATTCTCAGAGAAAGCTCAGCACTTCTTTAGAAAAATACCTTTAAAGCTTAGACATACTCAGTCATACTCAGTATTAAGCTGTTTTCTGTTTGTTTACTTAAGAGCACAATTAAATTGAAGAAGATGAAGGCAAAGTAACTTGTGAGCATCCTGTTTTCTTAGAGTTTTACAGTTTTATCATACTCTTTTTGATGGAGATTGCTGAATGTAAGTTTGTGAATTATATTTCAAATGAAATAAATGCAAAACTGCTCAGCAAGAATAAAGAAAATGAAACAATCTTATTTTACACATACAAGTGATCTTAATCTCCACCACAAACCGTGAGGAAAGCAAAGGAAACATAACAGTACACAGCATATATCCAAAAGCAACTGATAAATAAAGAGAAATTTAACAGTAGCATTTTGCAAGATCCAACAATATCATTTTCTGGCTATGTACCTTTTCATCACACCTACAATCTACAGATAGGAAATAATTTTTCACTACTATTTTCTTACGTTATTAAGCCCTCACATTATTTTACTCATCCCTCATGCTTTTGAGAACTTAAGCCTCAAAGGGATTGAGTTTATGTTGGCAATTTATTGTTTCTGAAAGGTTAACCTCATTCAAAGCCTGTAGTTCTGTCACAACCTACACATGCATATCTGCATTGCTTCTCGATTAGTCTCCGAGAGGACCACGGATGTATAGCTAGTGACTGCAAGAAATAATCTACCATCAGTTTTAGATTGCCAGTGCACTTCAGATCTAGCTATAAGATGGGGAGAGGCAGCAGTATTTGAGTATCTTATTATAAAATAACATTTGCAACTTTATAAAAAATAGTAGTAATTGAAGCACAGATTATCTTGTACAATGGAATATGAAAATTTAACATCTGGTAATTTATATTTCCACGTTTCCCACACTATTTCTTCTTATTCACGGATCACAACAGCAGTAAATTGATTTTTAAATACTTTTGGACACTTCTACCCACTTGAGCAGATTACAGAACTAACCTTTTCAATGGCACAAAAGTTCTTCGTCATCTGGCATGTGAGACTGGTGCTGAGTACATTGCTCCTTCAGCTCAGCTGGCATCTAGCATGGGCAGCAGATGCATTCAGCGTACCCAGTGCTCACAAAGGAGGGTAATGTGGCCAGGAACTCACAGACAGTGCAAGAGGTTTCCTGCCAAGTATGAAATCTTGCAAAAGGCTGAGTGAACGAATGCACTTGGAGCTTATTGTTTATCTGGCACCCTCAGAAAAGGCACCAAGGAGCACTGCCAGCAGGATGAGCAAATAAGCAAGACAGTTAACTTTGCATTTGATACACAAGAGACCCAGATGTACTGCGTAAGAAGACAACGCCCAAATGGTGATGATGTGCTATGAGACAGTGCCCTTCTGGGAGAGTCACCTGCAGCACTGTGGCAGGTGATTGTCCCCTGAGGGTGACGATTCAAGTGGGAGCTTTGCTCTGCTAGAGTTACTACAGCAGCAGGTGAGGAGTGGCCAGTGTGTTCTGATAACTAACAGGAGATTGTCAGGATCTTTCAAAGCATAAAAGTTTATCCCCTGGACAGGGAAGTTGCAACTGAGACTTGACAGAGTGGGAAGAAGACATGCACTCCTAAGGATAGAAACTTGTACCTTGTGGCTCCTGGTAGCAGGAAGACTGCTGTATGGTGCAAGGCCCATGTTTCAGAAAGACTACTTGGGATCACCTAGTGTTCTGATTGCTTTCTGCTTTTTCATGCAGACACCAATTACATGGTGATATGAAATCATTTTACCTCAAAAGTAACTGTAGGGCTCTTGAGCAAGGGTGAATGGGACAGGAATCCTTGTATTGTTTCTCTTTAACCCTATGGCAGAAAGGAAAAAGCCTGGATAGCAGTATTTACAGCGAAGGTATGCTGAAGGCCCAGTTGGCTGAGCAAGGAATTTCTTAATGAACTAAAATGATAAAAGCATATACTGATATACTGAAATGGAAATAGTGGAAACGGAGAACATGTATGTGGAAACAATGACAGGAAACAAAGGACAAGCACATAAACATTGTTTGGGCGCAGCAACAACACTTGGAAGGACAAAGCCCAGCTGGAGCTAAAATTAACGCGGGACATGAAAGGGTAACAAGAAGGAATTTAGGAAGTCTGAGAGCAACAAAAGGAGTTTTGAAGAAAATATAGGCCTATTGCTTATTAGGGGAGATAACAAAATTACGGACAATATGGAAAAGTTTGCAGCAATACCATTTCTGCTTATAGCATTTTACAAAACATCTACTCCCAGATCTTTGCATGTACAGCTTGGGAAGGTCAGTGAGCACCTTAAGAAGTCAAATGCGTTCAAATACCTAAGATTATGTGAGTTACACTCATGGGTGCTGAGAGAGCTGATGGGGTGGCTGTAACACCCATGGCTGATTCATGAAAAATCACTGCTATTATAGAATAATCTTGATGACTGGAGAAAGGTTAATTTTACATTCATATTAAAGAAAATACAAAGGAGCATCTAAGAAAATGCATAATAGTTGGCCTCACCTTAGTCCTTGGAAAAATCGTAGAGTATGTCCTCTTGGAAACAATTTCCAACATGTAAAAGGACAAGACAATAATCAAGAAAGGTTGACAAGGATTTACTATGAGCAAATTGTGCTTGGCCCATCTGATTGCCTGGTATGATGAAATGACTGGCCATGCAGATGAATGGAGAGAAGTAGATAAAATATCATAACACATCTCCAAAAGCTTTATCATTTGCAAGGTGAGGAGGTATGGGCTGAACCAAAAGATTATACGTGAGCTGAAAACCAGACACTCAAGCTCAAATAGTTGAGTACATGGCATGACATCCAGCTGAAGGTTGGAAATGAACACAGTAACCCAGGGGCTGTTACAGAGATACTGATGAATATCTTCATTGGCAGCTCGTGTGAGGAAACAGAATGTGAACTCAGTAGGTTTTCAGATAACGGGAGGAGGATTCAGACTGGGAGGTGTGGTTGCCACTAGTCAGAACTTCAATTCAGAAAGACCATGAGACATTGGAGGCCTAAGCAAAATACATGCTTTTGAGGTTTCTGTTCAAGAAACTTTAACAGGTGCAAAATTCTGCACCTGGGAAAAAAACAAGCAAACAAACAATGCATCTATCAAGACAGGAAAAGAACTAGTTGTGCTTCAGGCCTGCTGAAAAGAATATGGGGGCTGCAGTATCTGCTGGGCTCAATGAGAACTAACAAAGTGTTCACATCACAACTTGTGCAAACACTGCTCTGGGCTACGTTAGGAGGAATGTGGGCAGCAGACACAGGAAAGTCAATATTCTTCTTTATTCAGTGCTCTCCAGGCCTCACTGAGAGCATCAGTTCAAGAAGGATGCTGAGAAACTGGAATAGGTCCAATATGAGCTACTGTGACTGTTATGGGTCTAGAGGATAGTCTTGGGCTTGTTTATTTTGGCAAACAGGCGACTAGAATGGATACTGGGAGCTGCAACAATGTGAAATTACAAAGAAGATGTACACAAATTCTCAGCAGTGGCAGATGATATGGAAGGCCAAAAATTGCGTCCTATGAGGTTCAAAATGGTCATTAGGAAAATATTCTCCATTAGGAGAGCAGTGCAGAACTGGAAGAGTTCCTATTCAAAGCCACTGACTTGATCCAATGTCAGTGATTGTACTTTTCCAAGTAGCAGTTTAAGCAAAAGTCACTTTCAATCAACATTTCTAAAACCAATCTACTTACAGTATCTTTCAAAAATTGTTCTGCAAATTATGAATGTTTTACAGCTTTGTAAAACAAAGAAGCAAAAACAAAAAGCACTCCAGAGAAAGTACACCTTTTTTTCAATACTCTAAAGTCAAATTCTTTGGCAATAATAAATGAAACAACTGATTTATAGCTGCTACTGTGCAGATGCTGTCAATTCGTGTCTAGAAGTATTTGCTGCTCCTTTCTGTAAGTGCCAACTTCTGTGTTACACTGTGCGGAGCTTGTGAGTTCCCTAGATACCATTTTTATTTTGTGTACAAAGAGACATTGAGAATTTGATCCCTCTTACACATGAGCAAAGACCCATACATTCTTTGAACTGATCAAATAGAAGTTAAAAGGAAAACATGGTCCACCCTT